CTGTTTCATCGATTTTGTTTTAAAGTTTGGTCTTTTAAAGGTATATTCAACGGAATGAAGATATACGTTTACGATTTACCGGCGAGATTCAACGTCGATTGGGTAACGAAATCAGACCGTTGCTCAACTCATCTATTCGCGTCGGAGGTAGCGATTCACCGTGCGCTTCTCTCCGACTCCTCTGTTCTTACGTCAAATCCAGAAAAAGCCGATTTCTTCTTCGTCCCTGTATACGTCTCTTGCAACTTCTCCACCACAAATGGCTTTCCTTCTCTAAGCCACGCTCGCTCTCTCCTCGGATCCGCCGTCGATTTCCTCTCCGACCGTTACCCGTTTTGGAACCGGACACAAGGCTCCGACCATGTCTTTGTCGCTTCACATGACTTCGGAGCTTGCTTCCACGCCATGGTAAAGAAACAGAGCATGTTGTATAGGCACACCAAATTCGCTAGAAAGATATTGACTTTTTTGTTTGTTGTGTATTTTGTGAAGGAGGATATGGCGATTGAGCAAGGGATTCCAGAATTTATGAAGAATTCGATAATTTTACAAACGTTTGGAGTTAATTACAAGCATCCATGTCAAGAAGCAGAGCATGTTGTAATCCCGCCGTATATTCCACCGGAGAGTATTCAGAAAGCTGTTGAGAGAGCTCCGGTGAACGGACGGCGAGATATTTGGGCGTTTTTCCGAGGGAAAATGGAAGTCAACCCTAAGAATATAAGCGGACGCTTTTACAGCAAGTGCGTTGCGTAGCGAAATTCTTATTGACTTTTGACTTTTTCGTTTTTTTTTGGGGGTAATTACTAAAATGCCATTTCCCCGACGACGTGCGCAGGGGAGTAAGAACGGCGATTCTGAAGAAATACGGAGGGAGAAGACGGTTTTATCTTAACCGGCACCGGTTTGCTGGATACCGATCGGAAATCGTGAGATCGGTTTTCTGTCTCTGTCCACTCGGGTGGGCCCCATGGAGTCCACGGCTAGTGGAATCCGCCGTGTTGGGGTGCGTTCCGGTGGTTATCGCCGACGGGATTCAGCTTCCGTTCGCGGAGTCGGTGCGGTGGTCGGAGATCTCTCTCACGGTGGCGGAGAAAGACGTGAAAAATCTACGGAAGATTTTAGAACACGTGGCGGTTACTAATTTGTCTTTGATACAGCGAAACTTACGTGAGCCGGAGTTTAAGCGGGCCCTCTTGTACAATGTGCCGATGAAAGAAGGAGACGCCACGTGGCATATTCTAGAGGCGTTGAGGAGAAAACTAGATCGGTCGTACAAGAGGTCAAGGGTTTTGAGCCAATGAAAAGTTGACACGTAGGATGCTGTGTTCTTAAAAATGGATGCTAGGCTGGATTTTTTTGGACTTTTTTGGAATTGAAAAAGCCGGGAATGTGTTGTGGGGTCCACAACGTGAGGAGGATTAACTCGAACACGTGAGATGTCTGCTGAGCTGGCGATTATTGAGTGGATCATTACGTGGCTTTAGGGAAGTGAAAGTGTAAAGTATGCTGACGTGTAATTCTTTTGGGAGAGTAGGCAAATGATTCTTTGAATATAAATGACTTGTTGATCGAAATGCAAAGCAAGTTTAAACCAAATTCAACTTTTGTTTTACAATCTAACTATACTAAAAACCCATTAAACAATCAAATTACTTCTCTTATGAACTTAATAAAAAAATTATAATAGAATTACTAACTTCTAGTGATAATGTTTTTTTAGGTGCCAATAGCAACAAAATTCCTATTAGACTCTGTCATAGCAGAAATTTGACGGACACTCCATGACATTATCGCTTGAATCTAAAATTTTAGTTGACCAATCCT